CCATGGCTTTCTTCTGCAAAATTAGCTGTTCTGCAAATGCTGGCCATCGTCAATAGGTTTTCACTGCTGCGCCTATCCCGCCTTCTCTATAAAATGGCATTCCAAGTAAGAGAGGAAAACTCAAAACAAGGATAGGTCTGTGAGCTGTTGGGCTCAGAGAAAAATATAAGCTTGACACGTTGCCGTGTTGATTATCCACAGAGGTTTGGTGTAGGGATTTTCGGTTCTGTTTTCAGGTATGGTCCCTACAATCACGTGCCACCCTCGACCCACTATTGTGAGGGTGTGCCGTGCTCAGCACAGCTCGAGGGAAAAGCACAAGGTTACTAGCTGGGGAAAGACAGCTTTCAGAGCTTCTCTTTTTTTCTTTTTATTATCGGAAAGATTTCTGTTTAAACTGAACACTGGTTGGAGAGAAGAAAAGAAAACCTTTCAGAAATGCTGCTCAGATTAAAGAAAAACATGGCTGCTATTCTAATGGAAAAGAAACGCGCTTTGGCCTCAGCAAGGGAATGGACAAGATGCAGTGTAATCAGAAAATGCAGCCTCCACTGTTGAGGTATTATCAGAGCCGAAGTCTGTCTTCTGAAGAGCTGCTCAAACGCTTGTTTTAACACACCCACCAGGGGGCCTCAGTGGAATTTTTTTTTTTTTTTTTTTTTTTTTTTTTTTTTTTTTTTTTTTTTTTTTTTTTTTTTTTTTTTTTTTTTTTTTTTTTTTTTTTTTTGTCTCTTCAGGAAGGCTAGTAAATAGCACTTTGATCCACTGGGTGAGTGTGTTTACACGGCATCTCCCTTGTCTCTAAACACACAGAGCCGCCTGTCATTTTGTGAGCTCTGCCAACTCCAGCGTGGCTTCACCTGGTGGTTTGTGCCTGCCTTCCTTTGCTCTGGACCAAATTTTCACCAGCGTTAGCTGGCGGCTCTATCCACACTGCTTTCTAATTCCAGGCGTGTCACAGCCCCTCTTTCTTATCTTTTAGCCATCTTTGGCCGTCTTTCCTGTCCTACCAATTTCTTCCTCTCAGCTGGTCTGGTCTTGCTTGAGCCTGTTAATTTACTCGACTGTTACCCAGCTCAGCAGGCAGGTTTTACCAGCCTCCCCTTCTTCTCTTTTTTATTTTGACAAGGTCTTGTCACTATGAAGTACAGACAGATTTCAAATTCACAATTCTTGAGTGTCGAGGTTAAAGGTGTACACCACGACGTTCAGTCTTTTGTTCTATTTTTGATGCCAAAAAAAGAGACTAAACCCGTAAAAGAGGCAGGTGTTTCAGAATAGTGCTTGGTGGCTTTCCCCTAAGTGCTATAAAAATACAGATTAAAGGGGCTGGAGAGATGGTTCAGTAGTTAAGAACAGTGGCCGCTCTTCTAGAGGACATGGGTTCAGTTTCCAACATCTACATGGCAGCTCACAGACATCTGTCACTGTGGTTCCAGGGGACCCAGGACACTCTTCTGGCTTCTATAGGTGCCAGGATCCATGATACACAGACACACATGCAGGCAAACTATCAAGACATATAAAATAAAAGAAAAATATAGAAACTGGGCTAGAAAATGGTCACCCACTGACTACATGGTTGTAAGCCAATCTCAGTGATACAGCCTTCTTTCTACCTGACTTTCCTGCTTTGTGCTCCCCGGGTGTTGCTGACCTCTGTGGCTGACGTCGCTGCTGTGTGTTGCCGCTGATGGCATTACTTTGTGCTACCAGTTCAGCCCACTTTATCCATGGCAAAGATGACAAGTAGGTAAGAAAAGACCACTCAGGAGAAGGCTTTTATTGGGCCTAACTGCCCTCTGTAGCTGTGACTCGAATGCCCTTTGCAGCAGGATTGTGGTTTCCTCTGGACACTGCCCTGCTCTAGGCTGCTAGCCAGAAGCAGAAGGAATGTCAAACAAATGTCTCGCTCTTGACAGCTTTATCAGTTCATGGAAAAATTATCAAAGGGTATTTTCAGAAAAAGTGGTAACAAAGACTAACATTCACGGTGACATTTACAGTGTTCGATAGTGTTTAACAGAGCTTAACCCTTGCCCCAATTCCCCAAGGAGGGTTTGGTGCCTTATCTGTCTCACAGTGAGATAATAAGATAGCAAATTTTTAAGGGCAGTCTTTGCATGAGTGTAAGTCAGTGGAAGCCTAGTATTTCCAGCAATGGATGTTCATGCTACTGCTAAAATCCTTGGTTGCTGCAAGGAGATCAATAACCAGAGCTAGCCTTCTCTGAGACCGGCTTAACTCACAAATAGGATGGAGCTCAGATCTTCTGAGGACCTGAAAGGAAGCCCACGTGTTCCCTTTGGACTCAGAGTACACTCAGAGTGCTCCAAGTGAGATGTTTTGGTGATGGGGGCAAAAATTAGGACAGATTTTAATACCTAGGTATGGTCACTCTTAAAACCCTAGAACTTGAGAGGCTGACTCATTATTGGCAGGAGCATAAGGCCAGCCTGGGACAATGAGTTTGCAGCCAGTTTGGCCAACAGAGTGAGACCTCGTCTCAAGTAAAAGGAAGAAACAGACCAGAACTCAGCAAACAGCATGTGCTATCTATGTTGTGAATCAAATGGAAGGCACTTCCTTTCAGCCAGATTTAGGTAAGGATGGATGTCAAACAGCAGACTCTCTCTTTCCCTTATCAGTGGAGGAAAACCTCCCCAACTTCCCACCTGTAAATTCTGGAGAGAAGCTGAGGGGATCTGTGCATTTTAATATGGCTAAGATGAATTTTTATTAAAACCCGCTGCTTCTGAAGGGAATGGAACTGGTAGACCTGGCCCTTCAATGCTCATTTGATATCCCAGTGTTCTATGGAGCGTGACAAGCAGATTTTCAATCCGCCCAGGTACGCTTCCTCTTTCCTCCCTGCAGTTTGTTTCACACCCTTGCTTTATGTACTACCAGAAACCAGGGCCAGTGACTACTTTCCATTGAGAGAAAACACAGGATGCTTTTCTTCTGGCGAGTTTGAAGAACCGCCTCCCTTCCCACCCGAATCCAGACCTCAACAATGCCCACCCCTATCTGAAGTCTACGTGTATCTTTAACTCCTAGTTTGACTCAACATGCTCATCTTTTGGCCTCCTGGAAACAAACTGGTCCCTCTTCTGTGTTGTAACATCTCCTCACTTTTTATTCCAAACAAGTTTGGTTCCAATCTTTACACTAGCATAGTTAGTTCCCCACTTGTCAGTGAACTTTGATCACTGCACACAAAGTAGAAAGGCAAGCAGACAAGGGAGAGGAGGATTTCCTACCTTCCTCTCCCAGAAAGGGCTTTGGAAAGACATTACTAAAGACTTACTCCATAGTCTTAGTTGGATCTTACCAGAATTAAGACTGGATGTCGTTGAGAGGTGCACAAAATGAGCTACAAACATTGTCTGTGTTTGCACTGAAGCGCTTCTCAGCTTGTAAGAATCCAAGTGTGAAATGTGAATCTCTATGAGACAAACATATAAACTACTCAGGCCCCTAATTATGTATTCCCTTTTCTTTTTTGCAACAGAACATCTTACAGTGTTCTGTGCAAAACATTTTTAGGAAGAGTTCTAGAAGTATTCACTTAGCACATTCCACATTCCCTTTGGAGCTTTACATTGTTGATATATTAAAATCAAATATCCTTGCTTTGAGTTCAAGTCATGGGCTTTTTTGATTGTGCAAAGAATATCAACCTAAGAAAGAAAAGAAAATTATAGCTTAGGGTGTACACTTCCTTTGAAATTGTTGAAACAAGCAATGTTCCATGTTTCTTATCTAATAAATGAGGTGTTCAGAGTTACTTGTTTGACGTTTCTGACAGCCTTTCCTGAGAATCTAACCTCCTAAAGACACCATAGCTGTCATGATTCAAGATGACAACACACTAATCTTCCCTCATTTCTTATTAATTTTGGATCAGAAATTTCTGCTAGTAATGGTATTATTCTTTTGCTTCAAACTTGAAATTCCTCTAAAAATTCACTTGTTAAAGCATCCTTACACGAAAAGGGTTTATTGTTGAATGAACCTTTTTATGTGGACTTCTCTTAACAAATAAGGGTAAGCATGCAAAACAATGGGTTTCATTACGGTAACTTTTATGCATACTTTGTTATTATTTATTTCCTCCTCCAGTGTCCTTCCCTTTTTTGTGAGCTTCTTTCTCTCTTTATATTTCCATTTTATGCTTTTCTGTCATCTGTGTTTCATCATCCTTTCTTAATCCCATTCCATAGATCCCCCCCTTTGATTATGGTTCTAGTTCCTGTTTAAATACACACACAAACACACACATACATAAACACACACACACCACACATGTGCATACACATCTGGGTTTCATCATGATCTGATAAGATACAAAGAATTATAGTCATTCTTTTATTTGTTAAAACTTGGCTGACAAATAGTCTACGGTGTGATCAGTTTTAATAATGGTTCCTGGACTGTTGAGAAGAATGTTTATTTTGTATCCATTAGATAGAACATTCTGTATGCATCTGTTAGATACAATTGATCTGTGGAGTAATTTAACTCCAAGTTCTCTCTGCTGGGTTTTACTTTGGATGACTTACTTTAAAATGAGAGAGGGCTTAGAGTCACCCACTGTTATTGCACAGGAAACCAATGGGCCTTATATATCCTTTTGTGTTTATTTTGAACTTATTTGTTGTGTGTGTGCATTCTTGTATATGCTTCTGCACACATGTGCAGGTGCACTAGGACTTGTGTACATATGCGTGTGCCTGCCATAAGACAACTTTTTTTTTTACTAAAGACACTGCTTTGCACAAATTTATTTTAATACAGATATATACATATACACACATGTACACAGCCACAAACCAGCGTGACAAGTTCCCCTCTTGAGCCAGGAGGGCTCTCCCACATCCAGGGATCCCGGAGATGCTCTGGAGAGCCTAGTCTGACAGTTTTCACATAAACACCCACTAGGGACACGTTAATCAGATTAAATGGCAAGGTGCACCCAGGTGTGCACTGCCTGGGCCTCACGCCGGACCAGAGCTCTGCTGGACCCTCTTCATCAGCTCTTCATCCTGCATTGACAACTCTGTCAACTTTTTGTCCATCCTCTCATGGATGTCCAGGTACTTGGATACACATCGGTCCAGGCACACAGAATCGCCTTTGGACAGCTCTGCTTCCTTGTAGTTGGGAGGCACACACTTCCGGTGGCAGGCGCTGGTCATCCTGTTGTACACATCGGCCATCATCTCCACCTCCAGCTCCGCAGCCAGCTGCTGGGCTCTTAGCAGATCCATGTCAGCCGAGCACGGTGGAGAACGGCCTCCGGGGTCTTCAGTCCCCCGCCTGCGGCCCATCCCACGGCGCCCCCAGCTTACCCAGCTAGGAACTGAGAAGCACGTGGGTCACTTCCGGGAGGGATAAGACAACTTTTGTATATAATTTCTCAAGAGCCAGCCACCCTGTTTTCTTTGTTAAGACAGGGTTTCTCACTGGCCTTGAGTTCAGTGCTTAGGCTGGCCTGGTTGTCCAGCAAGTCCCAGGATTCTGCCTAGCTCATTTTCCCCAGTGCTGAGATTGCAAGAGCAAGCCATGATGACTGGCTGTTTTATATGAGTTCTGGGGTCCAACCTCGGGTCCTCATGCTTGTATTGCAAACACTTTATTGACCCTCAGAATTCGTTTTATGAATTTAGAGGCCCCAAGATTTGCACACACATATTTACAATTGTTACCGGTTTTTGATGAATTGTTCCTCTTGTTAATATATAGTGGCATTCTTTACATGTTTTGGTGTGGTTGTTGTTCCAGTAAGCATCTCTGTCACTGTGATAAAAACACTGACTAAAAGGGGGTAAAGGGTTTATTTCATCTTATACTTTCCAGTTCATCATCAACGGAATCCATGGCACTCAAGGCAGGAGCTTGAAGCACAAACAGTGGAGGAATGCCTCTTGATCGCGTGCTTTCCATAGCTCAGGTCCACTTCCTGGAGATGTACGGCTCACGGTGGGCTGGGTCCTTCTACACCAATCAGCAATCGAGAAAATGAACCATAGGTGTGCCCATTGGTCAATCTGATAGAGGCAGCTCCTCAGCTGTGTTTCTCTCTTTCTAGGAGTTTCAAGCTTATGAACTAGACAAACCATTATAGTTGTGGTTTGAAATATTCCTTATCAGGTGCTAGACCCTCCCATCCCCAGGTTCTATTCGTTTGCTAGGTTGACTTACATAAATGTTAGGTGTGTTTTTCTGGGACAACAGCTCGTTGTATTTTAGCTGACTTTTAAGAGATGAGTTGAGGCTGTTGAAGTTTAAAGTTGTTAAGGGCCGGTGTGAAGACTCAGCAAGTAAAGGTACTTGCCCTTTGAGTTCAGTCTCTGGAACACATTGTCGAAGGAGATAACTGATTCCCACAGCTTGTCCTTTGACCCCTGCAGGCAATAAGTTAATGAATGTAAAAAATTTAGGCCATTATGGAGTGGAGTTTGGTAATCCATGATTTTGTTGTTGGTGACTTTGGGTGCTTGGATTACCGTTAATCCTTTCTTTCTTTTTTTCTTTTCTTTTCTTTTCTTTTTCTTTCTTTCTTTCTTTCTTTCTTTCTTTCTTTCTTTCTTTCTTTCTTTCTTTCTTTTTTTTTTGTAGTTGGTCTGCCCTGATCTATTGTGTTGAACACAGTCAATAATTTCCTATCTCTCCCTGTGCCTTTATTCTTTTAATGAATTTATTCTTTCCTGTGCTCTCATGATGGAGACTGTCTCCTTCTGCATTCTGCACACATTTGAGCTGTATCCTTTAAGGTTTTCTGTAGTGCTGACTTGGTTGGTATGCATTGTCTTACTTAGTATGTGCTTGTCTAAAAATGTTCTTATTTTGACATCACATTAAAAGGATAGCTTTGCTGGGTATAGTAATCTTGATTGGTAGTTACTTTCAGGGCTAGAAATGACGTTTCATACTTTCTCAGGTTTGAGTGTTGCTGATGAGGCATCTGGTATTGTTCTGCTTCCTTTGCCATTGTGAGTGAGTTAATATTTTTCTTTATAGCTTTTAGTATCTCTTCTTCAATAGTTTTTTTCCCATGCGGAGTTTCTTCTTTGATTATGTCCACTTTGGATTTAAATGATACTTTTACTTAGATGTCTTTCTATCTCTACTTGGGAAATTTCCATTATAATTTTGTATTTGGATTTTTCTTACGGCCACCAGCTCATAAAAAAGTGATGTGGAAACCTATTTTTAATTATGAAAGTTTATTCTATAGCTTAGGCTTATCCCACTAACTCTTATGACTTAATATATTTATATTAATCTACATTTTGCCATGTGACTTTTTACCTCTCTTCCAACTTGTATCCCTTGCTTCCTCTCTGCGTCTTCTGTTGTCTCCCCAGCGTCTAGATTCACCTCCTTTTCTTTCTGTGCCTGAAGTCCACCTAACCTCTTCCTGTCTAGCTATTGGCTATTCAGCTCCTTATTAGAAGGCACCATTGAAAGACATCTTCATAGTGTAAAAAAACATTATCCCACAAAATAATTTCATTGAACAAATTGGATGTTAGATTTTATCATGTGTGTAGGATTTCTTAAGCTTGACAACGCCCTAGACTCTTGGGCATTTTGAGCATATAAATTTGTATGTTTTGTTGACCCAACTTTGTTGTTCATCCCTGGTTTCTTCAGTTTGGTTGGTCTCATCTGCTTATGATACTTGCTACTGTTTTTCATTTGATTATTTTTTTTTCTAGAATTTTTGTTTGATTCTTTTTCAGAGTTTTTATTTCCTTGCTTGAGTTTTCCTCTTTATTTTAAATTTGTCCTCAAAAGTTCTAATTGCTTCATCTCCTTGGAAAACTGTCTTACGTAGGTCTGAATTGGCTTCCTTGCTTATTCATCTGTTTATTTGTGTCTTAATTATGTGGGGTCACTTAGCATTTTAGAGTAGAAATGTGAGTGACTGGAGAGATGGCTCAGTGATGTCGAGTACTTGTTGCTCTCCCAGTGGAAATCAAGTTCAGTTTCCAGCACCAACATTTAGTGATTCACAAATTCCTGTAACTTTAGCTCCAGGGAATCTGATACCCTTTTGCCTTTATAGATATCAACATACACATGGAACACACACACACACACACACAAATATTTCTTTTTTTCTTTGACAGGAGGCTTTTTTTTTTTGTCTGATTTGTTTTAATTCTCCACTCCTCCTCTGTTTCTACTCAGAAAAGGGCAGGCCTCGCATGGATATCAACAAAACATGTCATATCAAGTTACAGTTAAGACAGCAGAATTATGAAATATTTTCCTGGCTTTTCAGCTATTTTCTGATGTTCAGTTTCTAGTATTGTGAAGTCATGAGCTTATGGAAATAAAATAATAGCTTGCTTCCTCATATTTTCCTCAAACTTCTTTGTTGTGTTTCAAGTTTGGATGGAAGCGTCTTCCAGTTGTCATTTTCCCCCCATTTTTTCTTTTTATGTCAGTGCGTATCCCTGGTGAATTGTCTTGGCTTAGGTTTTTGTGTTCTGCTGTTTGTGGGGGAAGCTGACTATAGTAACAGACACAATGATTTGATGGAAATCCATGGATTAAATTGCAGTAATAATATGTATGTGCTTCTGTTGTATACCTAATAAAACTCAGTGCAGCAATACTGGGTCACTGACTGGGAAAATGCTGTTTATTTATTTATTTTTATTTAAAAAAACCAAACTATGTTTTTTCATTTTACATATCAATTTCAGTTCCCACTCCTTACCCTCCTCCCATCCCCTCCACTTTCTCCCCCACCCTAAACACCAGTCATGCCTCAGAAGGGATAATGCACATTGCTTTGAGATGGGACCAAGACTCTCCTTACTATATTTAGGCTGAGCAAGGTAACCCTCCAAAGAGAATGTGTTCCAAAAAGCCCGGTTACAAGCAGTAGAGATAAATTCTGGTCCCGTTGCCGGTGGCCCCACAGTCTGCCATAGCCATACAACTGTCACCCACATTCTGAGGGCTTAATTTGATCCAATGCTGGTTCCTTTCCTGTCCAGCCAGAGTTGATGAGCTCCCATTAGCTCAGGTAAGCTGTTTCAATGGGTATCCCCATCATGGTCTTGACCACTATGCTCATATTCTCACTGTGCCTACTCTTTGACTGGCCTTTGGAAGCTCATCCAGTGCTCCACTCTAGCTCTCTGCCTCAGTTTCCATCAGTTGCTGGATGAAGGTTCTATGGTGACATTTAAGATAGTTATCAAACTGACTACAGGGCAAGGCCAGTTTGAGTACCCTCTCCCCTATTGCTTAGAGTCTTAGCTGGGGTCATCCTTGTGGATTTCTGGGAATTTCTCAAGTGGCAGGTTTCTTGGTAGTCGCGTAATGAGCTGTCCATTGGTGAGAGTGGGGTGTTGTGGTCTCCTACTATTAGTGTGTGGGGTTTGATGTGCAGTTTAAGCTTTAGTAATGTTTCTATTACACATTGAGTGTTCTTGTATTTGCAGCATAGATGTTTAGGACTGAGACTTCACATTGATGGATTTTTTTTCCTGTGATGAGTATGAAGTGTCCTTCTCCATCTCTTCTGATTTATTTTAGTTTGAAGTCTATTTTCTTAGATATTAGGATAGCTACACATGCTTGTTTCTTAAGACCATTTGATTGGAAAAATCTTTTCCCATTCCTTTTCTCTGAGGTAATATCCATCTTTGAGGTTGAGGTGCATTTAGTCTATACAGCAGAAGGATGGATCCTGTTTTTGTATCTATTCTCTTAGCCTGTGTCTTTTTTATAGGTGAATTGAGTCCATTGATATTAAGAGATAATGTTGACCAGTGATTATTAATTCCTGTTATTTTTTCAGTGGTAGTGTTTGCGTGTTTCTTATTTGGGGTTTGCTGGTGGGAGATTATCTGTTGTCTGTCTTTTTTTGTGGGTGCAGTTAGCTTCCTTAGGTTGGAGTTTTCCTTCTGTGAAGGCGTAAGTCACGAACAATGCCACACCAATTTGGAGTTATGATTAATAGGGTGTTATTTACTTAAAGGGGAAAAAACTTACAGATCACCATCCCAGACAACAGCCATCTGCACAACCAGGAAGGGAGTCTAGTCTCAGGTGGAGCAGGAAGTGAAGAGAGAGAGCAGAGGAAGTAGCCACTTTTTTAAAGGGAGAGAGACCATGCCCCAATGGGCTGGTATCTCAGCAGTTATTGGTTGGAGGGGTGGAAGGACCTCCCGCAACACTTCTGCTACTTTCTGTAGGGCTGGATTTGTGGATAGGTATTGTTTAAATCTGGTTTTGTCAGGAATATCTTGCTGTCTCCATCAATGTT